ATTCATCCTTTACTGAGAGGAAGAACGAGAGAGGGCAAACTAATCCATGGTTAGATGAAGAAGTATCAAATTGCTTATTTGCTGAGCTTCACCAATCTTTTAGTCAAGTGATTCTCAGTGGAGTGGGAATATACGTGCATCAGAATCTCTTGTGAAATTTGAAAAGTTAATTATTGTCCTTTTTTGGCTCCAGCACCATTCTATTAATATATAGATCTGGAGTGATAGATGAAAGTGATTTCACTTTGGTACTTGTTTTATGTATTTTTTCTTTGTGTATTGTATGTTCAAATAAGTTTTATAATTTTTAGAGTTTGTTATCTGAACTTTCTTTTGAATCCCTAAAGCATGTTAAAGACCTTTTCTTTTGGTACTGGGGATTGAACTTGTGATCTTGTCCTTGTGAGGCAGGTAGTGGAACCACTGAGCTAAATCCCTGGTCCTTGTGAAAGACCTTTTTTCTAGAAAATAGGATGTGCTTCATTTATTTCTCCTTTGCGGTATAAGTTAAGTTAAATAAACTGATTAAGAGTAGAATAGTTCTTTCAGTTACTACCTGAAGTTTAATTAAATAAGTTTGATAAGTACATAGTTTTTGGTAAAGCGTTTATGGAAACTCTTTGTCCTTTGTCATTAAAAAGTTCACTTTATTTGTGAGTTTTCATTCAGAATGAAATTCAAGATAATTTAGTATTATTTGTAATGATACCTAATGAAATGATTAAGTAATAGTGTGTAAAAGAAATAGAAAACCCATTTTATCTTTTGCAATAAATTGCATTCAGTCAGACTTGTTCTGGACCTTAGTTTGGTAAGATGAATTTAATATTTTTTATTAACTGTGTAATAACTGTATTAATTTAATTGGCTTGTGAGCTTTTGAGAAAATTAGACACATGTCTGGGTGTGTCCGTGTGGGTTATGGAGGCATGACCTTGTGTACAGGTCCTTTGTCCCCTCTTCTCTAGCACTATTTTCCTCTTCTGTTTCCTGGCAACTATTACCTAATTGTCTTTATTATGCCACACCTGTTCGCTGTATCTGCCTTTGAGCCAGCTGACCATAGGCTGTATCCACTGAAAATATGGACCAAATTAAACCTTTCTTCCTGTAAGTTTTGTGTGTTGGATATTGTATCACTAACGAGGAAAGCCAAATAATACAAAACATTTGTAGTGAGGGTGGAGTCATTGCTGTCACTATACCTGACCATACAGTATAGAAGCATTTGGAATTGGCTTGCGGAAGGTTTTTGGAAAAGTTTGGAGGAGCAGGCTGGAGAAACCCTAGAACAACGATGATGAACCTTTTAGAGCTTTCAGTGATAACAGATTGCCCACTATTGCACATGGCCATAGGTTTGCCATCACTGCCGTAGAATGCTGTAAGCTGAACTTGATGGGTGATTCTGGTCAGAGTATAGAAGATCAGAATGCTGATAGCAATACAAATGATAAAGGCTAGACTCAAGAGGTTTTAGATAAGAATGAGGACTATTGGGAAATGAACTAGAGGCCATGCATGTTACATTCTGGCAAAGAATTTGTTTTTGTTTGCCCTTGTTCTAAGACTTTGTGTGAGGATGAATTTAAAGATGATTGATTAACCGATCTCATGGAGAAAACATCAAGGCAATCTAACATGTGTGGTATAGGTACTACTGGTTACTTTTAGTCAGAATTATAATGAGAAACAGGAGCAGAAGTATTTTAAAAGACACAAATTTTGATCCCAAAGGAATCATGTGTAAAATTGGAGCTAAAGCAAGTATGGTTGCTGTAGAGATTATTCTAGTAGAAGAACTACTTAGTATAGGGACAAGAAGAAAGATAATTTGAAGACATCTCAGGAGTTAACTAGATCCTACCCATTGAAAGTTCAAAGGTGCAAAAATGTAAACCTTTCATTTAGGAAGAGTCTCTGGGCTTCTTCAGAAGGTCTGCCCAAGGACTTGATTCTCTGGGATTCAACCAGTGAGGCACTCAGAGGCTGCTGCTGGAATGGTCCAGGGTAGTCTGGCCATTTCCTAGCTGGTAACAGACCTTGGCATCATGTACATATTACTGACTTTACTGGCACATATAAAGCAAGCGTTGTTGAGTCATTGAGTCAGGAAAGTTTCCACTGATTTCAAAGGAAAGTCTTGGTGACTTCCTAAATAGTACTCCAGTAGCCCAGGAAATAATAGCAAGAATTAACAAATGGGACTATATCAAATTAAAAAGCTTTTGTACAGCAAGAGAAACAACTAACAAAGTGAAGAGATAGCTTACAGAATGGAAGAAAACTTTTTCCAGCCCCTCTTCTGACTGGGCGCGCACACACACACACACACACACACACACACACACACACACATCATAGCCCAATTGCTAAATAGGCAAATGGACTGACTAGATACTTTTTAAAAGAAGAAGTACAAATGGATAATAAGTATATTAAAAATATTTAATACCTTTAGCCACAGTGAAATACAAACCAAAATTACATTGAGAATCCATTTTAACCACCACCAGAGTGGCTGTCATCACCAATATAAAAACCAGTAAATGGCTGATGAGGATTTGGAGAGAAAAGAAGCATTTTAGTCTAGTGTTGGCAATAAAGTAGTATAACTACTCATCAGTGTTACTTCCTGAAAAACTTAAAAATAGAACTACTGTTTCATTCAGCTTGTTATATGCATAAAGGAAGTAAAGTCAGCATACCATGAGAATACCAGCATACTCATATATATTGTGGCATAATTCACAATAGCCAAGATATGGAACCAGCCTAGGTGTCCATCAGTAAATGAATGGATAAAGGAAATCTGGCATATTTATACAATAGAGTACTATTTTTCAGCTTTAAAGAAGAATGAAGGGCCCAGGGTTTAGTTCATTCGTTCCACCACCTGCCTCACAAGGACAAGGATCTGAGTTTGATCCCTGGTACCAAAAAAAAAAGAAGAATGAAATTTTGGCATTTTCAGGAAAATGATTGGATCTGCAGATCATCATGATGAATAAAAAATGCCTGACTCTGAAAGACTGATTACATAATTTTCCATATTATGTGGACTCTAAAAAAGGTGATTGAAATTGGAGTGGAGGCTGTTACTAGACAAGAAGAAAGGAATAAAGGTGAGAGTGAGGTTGTGGAAGGCAGGTAAAGGGAGGACTTTATATATATATATATAT